GATGGAGCATCAGAGTCATGTGTCAGAGTCACCACACAGAAGTGAGAAGAAAGACAGTGAAGTGAAACAATTCGACTTCAACAAACTTAAAGAGAAACCACAGCGACAGATCACAGTGGATGGAGATCATGGATCAATGGGAGTATCAGACATGAACTTGCTCTACTATGGTAAAGACATACTGTGTTTGACTGATCGAAGTGGTCATAAGACTAACACGCTTCCGTCTGGCGAACTGAATGTCTGGGATATCTGTTGGTCATCGTTTCTTGACAGATTTCTGATATTGACTCCGACAACTCTTCATTCATTGAATGTCCAAACAAAAAAAGTGACACAAATCAAACAAGTATCAGACAAGAATAAAACAGCCTTTCGCAGATGTACATGTTCGAATCACACATTGTTGGTCAGTTTTGAACATAGAGGATCAGTTGTTGACGAGTGGGATATGAGTGGAGAATGGAAAATGATGAGACGATGGCAACCACCTGTGTCCTGTCAACAGAATGAGTGGATATTTGATATTCGATTTTCATGTGATGGGAGTCGATTAGGAGTAACAGTGTGGGTAAATGATCAATACAATCAGGTTCAAGTACGAGATCGATCAATGAACATCCTCAACAATATCACATTTCCTTGTCATTTGGCATTTGGGTATTTTCTTCTCTCTGTTCCAAGTGGACAGTGGCTGACACACGAGTGGAAGAATAAAGCACTTCGTATAATTGACAGAGATGGTATATTACAACAAACTCTCACATATGATAAGAGTGTGAGAACGACAGCACTATTAGGACAAAGATGTCTAGTTATTCGAACAGATGACAATGAACTCTGTTTTCATGATTTATGCTGATTGAGAACATTAAATGTGGATGAATCTTAGATGTGACCAATCCGCTTTATTTGGGCTTCGTCTGTCCGAACGCATACCGAATGTTTTAACCCCACAGTCAAAAACCCTATCTTAGTCCAGAGAGCTCTAATCTGAACCAAACTTTCAGAGAATGTTGATCATGGTAACGAAATTTGTTTTGTCACCAATTGCAACTGTTTGTGAAAGGGCGCCGCAACCAAGGCCGAAAACAGACATCTACCACGAGCAAGAATTCCCATTCCAGGTAAATGATAGATGATTTGGGTTGTTTTTGTTTTGCAGCAAACATCTATGGCTAGGGGTTAACCAAACCCGACTTGTGAATTTCTTTACTGATTTCTGGTGCTTAACAGAACTTTAAAGTCCGAAAAATCATGGAGTGTTTCTTAGAAATCCTCATTTTCAAAAAATGGAAGCATAATTTAAAGATCAGACTCGGTCAGCTCCTAGCTCTAGATGCTATCTGCAAATCAAAAAAAACTTTGCTTTCACCGATATCGTTACCGAGAATTTCTGTGCAGAAATGAGAACCATGTGCTTTTCTCAAAATCGATTCTTTTAACGAAAATCATTTCTGAACCAGAAGGATCTTCACTGAAGCTGGTTAGGTGTGTTGTTATCTGCATTTCTGAACGAATGTAGAATTCTGTTCTATTTATTACGCGGCAATGTAGGTCATAAGTTTTGTATGTTCTCCATGTTGTTTGGAGACGATACATGTTATGTCATAAAAGACGTAAGGGCATCGTATGTTTAGGAATGTAACTATTCTTTGTCCTTAACGGACCTATAGATCAGGATGTTCTTTGCTATCCTTCTTATGTCATGTTATGTCCTGTACCACTGACATCATTACTCTCTTCCATCTGTTTCTCGTATGTTCAACTACATGTAAATTTTATATATAAATAGCTGTATTTTTAAATGTGTTTTCGTGTGATTAGTCGGATTATTAATTCGTAATGAAATAAATGTCGACGTCTGCATTTGTAGTGAGATGATCGCCGCTAAATTTAAGTAAAATCGAAAAGCAGCTATCGATCGAGACATACTGATAGGTAATTTCAGCTTTACATCCGCCTTTTCGTGCTGTCATTTCATCGTTTTGCATATTTTGCACCATTACGGACAGTCACCAGAAATTTCATGCTAACCAGCAATACGTTGTTCTCCTTCTTTTCTTACTTCATACAATAAAACTGTTACTAGTTAATTCTTTGATATCTCTGCACATGTCCAGAAGAGAGTTTTTGTACTTTAAATGGTGAGGAAATTATGTGTCATATCAGTAGATTAATCTGTAAAGTAGAAGCATGGCTTTCAAAATGCATTAACCTAGAGGAATACCTATTGCTTGGTTCCATCCAATACCTGTGACCACTACAAAGTCACTACAATACCACTACCGTAGTGGAAAAGTATAGTATAGCGCAGTCTAGTGAAGTGTTGCTTTTGCCCCCTTGGTTAACTGGCGTTCCGTGCCACATACTGTTGTATCTTGTCATACAATTACTGCTTTCAAATGAGCATTACACGCTGACCTATCCATATAACTGTTTTGCGTTTTGTTTGTTTGTTATTATTTTTCTATACTCTCTTATTGTGGTTGTTCGCTTTTCCGTGTAGTGGCACTGTATTTACAAGCCTTTATTTTTTTTGTGCTTTCCTATGTTATCAGATGTTTCCTTAAGCATAAAAAATTTAGTTTCAAGCTCTTTCAAGTTCTCGATTTCTTCTAGCTCAGCTGTGATTGAATGAGAATTCAGAGCCGTTGGTCAGATTGTTAACCAACGCCGCTCAAGCTTAGATCAATCAATAGCCAATAGTATGTTATTTTTACGTTCGATCGAAAATAATAAATGAAAGACTAATCTGATCCATATGAAGTGGAAATTAAAAGTCGACTTTCTTAGCGCCAGAAGGAATGAGCTCTAACTTTGCAGAAATCTTTGTTTATTCTTCTAGATAATAATAATGTTTGAATAAAGTGCCGAGGTCGTTTCGTT